TAGAGTTTCATTGACGGTCAGCGCTCACTGGAAACTTCAGAAAAGTCTTAAATCAGGGAGTTTCTAAGAACAAGCAACACGGATACCCTGTACCCAGTATTCTGTTGGCTAGTTGAAATCAAATCGGAGAAGTTCTCATTTCGCCAGGAAACGGTGCAGTTTAAGCACCCGCGTTTGTTAGTTACATGACCTCTGATATTTCTCATTTCGCACATATTCCAAATTAGTATAACTTGCAAAGGCATTGAACCTGTTGCAGCTCGTTACACTAAACATTTGTTACCATCGACCTTCAAATGTCAAGTGCGGAGGAACTTAAAACTCGGATACATCGGAATACATGGTTCGGTTTTGTCGACCTTATGACACAAGATACTCTAAGATTTACGCCAAGGGAAAACAACGGAAAAACACAAATCACAAGTAGCATTATAGACACAAAAGCTACAAACAGCTTGGATGTTTTTATTGCATTTATTTACAATTTTTTTCCGCAGTGATTTCCACCGATATGCTTTTCAGGGGAAGATGGCGAAATCCCAGATCTTTTCGTTCTTCACACAGCCTGGATGACAATGTACCTGTCGTACGCGGATCTGCATCAACAGGACGGTAATTCATTTCCTTATGTGTGGCAAATCGGCGTACAACGGTTACTCGATCATAAAGCTTAGCCAAACGAACACATGAACAGCAGGACTAGAGAACAACATCCGAAACATTTCCGAACACGTGAATCCTACAAGTGCTACTGTTCAGTTCAATGTCAACGTCTACCCAGCTTTAGATGACGTAACGTAATCCATTCACACAACGGTGCTCCAAATGAACCCACAATGTTGAGGGTTGAAATTATTTGGTGACAAGCAGATCATATCGAGTTGTTCCGCGAGTCGTGAAGCGTAATGAATGACCTGATTCGTGGGGAAGACACGTTGATACAGCCATACAGAGTCATAGCAACTTCGGACAAATCTCACTTTTGGTTCGATCGGCTTGGATATAATCAGGTTTGTGTCGACGTGCAGCAACTTGCTGGTGTTCTAGAGCGGTCTTCCACACTGATGGGCGGATGTAAGATAAAAGACCTAGATGGATCCCGAGGCTATGGCTAGTTCCATCATAGTTTATGGAACGTGTATGAGAATACACGAACGGCTGCTTATGCAAGGTCTTGTGCAGCGTATTGCACATTGCATTTGGAGTTTTACTATCGCGTGCGATGCTCAATGCGCATTACGATTGAATGAAATGTCGCTGCATGAGCAGGTGGACTCTGGTATTACTGCAAATAAGGAGACGAGGTCAACCGGGTGAATCTAATTGATTAGTAACTACTTTAAACTGGTCACTGTTAAGCCTAATTGTCCGGCGTGCTCATTTTAAACACATACAAGCGACACCAATCGGTGTCCCGTCCTAGGGCAACACAAATAAGCCGTGAGTTGCCTGCTCTAGCTCACAAAGCGCAACATGTTGAGTGCCAGTCCAGTTGCCCGATTCATAAGCACTATACATGTGCAATTGATAAGCGTCCCACTCGTCAACCAGCAAACGCCGGCCTGCAAATAAAAATAAGACGATACTGCATGTTGATGTCGCACTTCGCGACCCGATTGTCGCATCTCATACCGTTTCCTGGAGCAGCTGTTAACTGTGTAAAACAAGTTTTAATGCACTCCGCATAAAGTATTCAACGAATGATTTACTAATTTAAGATATTGATCCGGACGGCAATCCTGTAACCTGCTATATGGGCTGAGAGTACAGTGTTGTTTAACAAGCGCACTCGGCATTCAATTGAAACAAATCTGAGGGCTCAGGATTACTAGGTCATATCAGGTTATACCACCGTTTGTCCGTTAGCGTTGCGGCTATTCCAATATGGACATAAGTACTCTGTGTACCTACTTTTGCCCCCTGAGCTCTACTTCTTATATAAGAGCAAGTCACAAGTTCTGGATTAAAGCATTGTACTTTTCATTCGTGAATCACGCCTGCAACATTGTAAGGCCTAGCTTAGGCACACAGACCGTTGTCCAAATCTATAGTATTCCAAAATATTTGGACACTCCCATTATTGAAGAAGACATAACGAGAGCGTGGAGAATTTCAGCAAAGCCGCTGTCGAACAAAGATTTTGTGAGGGACCATTTATTTCATTCGCCCTTAGCGATATTCAAACTCATGTGCTTTGCTGGGATCTATCTAGCAACGAACAGCCCGCGAATATGGAAAGTTAAGTATTATCTTGTTGTCATTGTAGTTTGACCAATAACAAATGTGAGGCAAATTAAAAATTGTAATTACCTACGATAAGCTGGCCTGTAGTTAGTATGGATAACGGAATAGGATAAGCATGTACAATACTAAGTGTAAACCACAGGGATTTACGGCAGCGAGAACTGCCTGTTTTCATTTATGTGACGCGTGTTGGTTTTTGTCGCCGTTTGAAGTAACAACGGTTGATTTCATTTCGCCGGTAGCTCAAGTGGTTTAAAAATTAGGATCAGTCTAGCCACATAGATTCGTAGGAAAGTGAACCCCTACTTGAGACTACTAGCCTCATTTTAGTAGTTGCTAGCTTGTTGACCCAGTTGGTCAACAGATTTTCTTAGCTACCACAACAGGAAGAAGATACAGGATGGATTAAAACGTTGCAATTGAACCGATTGCATAAGCGTTTTCTAGCATTAGTGCCAAAACCTCACTGGTACATGCAGAATAACTCTGAGACGCAAGCAGTCTAACAAAGCTAGGTAGTTCCGATTGTGATAGGGCAGAGAACCATGTGGAGAATACCGCGGGAACGATTCCAAGTGGGGATCAGATAGTGTCAAGTACATGTGTGTGTTGCAATGAATGCACAGTTAGTTTTATCTGTGGGTAACTCACACATGTGGATTAAAAGCTTGAATACGCTCTTCCACACTGGACTATGAAAAATCGATGCAACAGGAAGGCAGTACAAAGTTATCTAAGGAGTAGCAATGGTATTACTAGATACTACTGAAGAACCCGAATGCACGATAATGAGGAACACAAACAGCATATGGGAATAGGCATGTGTGACTTATTTTGCTAAATCACGAAAGCGACCAAGTGTAAGTGCAGCTAAATAGGTACTTTACTCAAGTATGCATTACTAAATATGGAAGCACCAATGAGATTAGCTTAAAACTAGAATAATGGGATTTGGAAACGAGCTTCTGACCACTAATCAGTTAAACGCTGTCAAGACATTCCCCCAGATTTCAGTCCCCTATCAACAATTATGTATTGCAAACTGTAAAATAGATGTGCGTAACAGAGGTGGCTACGCAATGTCGCGACTTTAGACGGACAAGCATTTCTACATGTTGTTACGCGGTTTGGTCAATTTTACTGATCTGTATGAGTGCTGCTTGTGTCGACTTGGCAAAACAAGATATTGCGAAAAGCAAATTTGGTATCGGTAAACTTGTACGTCCTTAATCCGTCGGATTACATTCATAGGAATAAGATAAAGACGTTGATAATTCCTCAGTACTAGTCGAGATATTCCATTCGAGTGATGTAAATTGCAAGAAATTGCATCTGTAGTTTACAACATCAACCGGATATCGCAAATGAAGCGATGGGTCGGTGCGTTAGTTTTTCTGTCGATTAATTCCACCCTGTTCTTTTTATCGGCTTTTGGTCCCATATGAATATTTTTAAACGCGTTAGGAGCACAAAATATTCCCGTTTAGTACATAAACAGGTGAACCTAATAGAGGTGAGACTTGATTTTGTGGACAAACGGTTTGTATGCTATCAACTTACACCGAATATGAAAACACACTTGTGTTAAACCTTTGAAAATGGAACATGTAAGATATGTTTTGGTAAATGAGACTAAGCCATTAATTGTCGTCCTAGTTACCTTAGTGAAACGCATATTCGAGCAGAGCATACCGGATTTCGATACAGGGAAGTAAAGTTATCTTTATAGCAAACGGACCTCTGAGTTCAGCAGCTGTCCGATTTACTGTATCAAAAATTACAGTCAGCCATACTTACCCTAAACAACTAAGATAAACAATCAACAAGAGATCATTTTATCAGTAGTTGTGTAGTAGTAGCTTAACAGACGCAGTGTGATAAACTTGTTCCAGCTGACCGAAATGGTCTTCTCCCTACGATGCGCATCGAAAGGCTCCTGCTCTTTGCTCTTTGCACTCATCACTAAGGATTAGGCTGAAACTCAGTACATCGCGCTCAGCTTCTATCTGCCCAGACCATTGACCTAGTTCCGATTAGACAAGAAATGTTACACAGTATTAGAATGACAAACCCATGATAAGGATAATTGCTATAAATCGCTGAAAGGAAATAATAATGGTTTTATTTGGATAATACTGGGGCAGCTCATCTTACATACTCTCCGCCTGATCGTATAGTCATATTACGGAATGGAATCTATAAGTTCCATAAATTTAGGCAATGGTATTTCGCAGTTTCCGGGAGCCCGACTCGCATGGCAAAAATGCCAAAGACGAAGCTTGAGCTTTCTACCTAACTAATTATTTTAGCTTTATGACAAAGCTTAGTATTTCCAATCGGAATGAATTAAAATTGCCTACTAATTGATATCTAGAACAGTAGAGGAGAAATCATACATTTATGATGCTTAGCAACTCTCTACTTTGCATACACTTGCCTTTCATTATTTGTTCCATGAGTGATAAAATCCCACCAACTGGAAAGAGTATAAGAAGACACCGGAAAATATTCGTATATCTGTCAACATCTAGTTTATAGAAAAAAATCTTGTGTCCTTATCGCAGTTTGTCCAAAGCAAATCAGGAAATGGTTCTTTTATGGGTCACAGAAACGGGATCGAACATAAGTAGTACAGTGTTTACTTGTAGTTAGATCTGTCAAATGTTTAACCAATAGAATCTAGAGTCGATTCAAAGAGGCTAAAAATGAGTAAAAAGTACTGAAAGTTCCAAATATCTTGTAGACCATATCACGAAGTCTTGTTTCGACAGCGTATAGACCACAATTTCAAGTGTAGCCCGATGTACACTGTATCCACTTTCAATAGCATTACTGCCAAAATGTAGGGTTTACAACTATACAGAAAGGCGGCTTCAGAAAGGAAACTCTTAAGCATGTTCAAAGTAGATCATTAGCAGTTCTTGCTTAAACGCACAGTGTATGACAACATGGGAATATTGAATGATAGAGTAGTGACAGTAAGTGCAATGGTAAGTTGGTTAAGGGTTCACTGATAAAAAATCATGTACAATGTTTATAAATCTTGTTTCCAAAAGTGTAATACAGAACTCTTTCAATGGAAAGGCCTCCATTTTTCAAGATACAGTCAGTGTCATCTAATAGTTTCAATAAAATCATCTAGATGACGGTTGTTACTGTGCACAACCAAATAGAGAGCGTTCTGCTGTCAAACGACGCCAATTCGATTTCATAGCATAGTTGCGTAAACCAATTGTTGTTATTGTTCCAGCCTGACTTGTGGCGATTGAATCCTGATCACCTTGCCAATAGGTTGTTTCAAAAATAGGTGTACATCCCTGGTACAACAGGCATTGGGACCCAAGGGGTGGAGGAGGATAACTCTGTGGTAAATAAAAAATTTCGCCGATGAAACATTCGATCTAACCAGATGGTCAAGTCAACGAAGGAATCGGGAATAAAAGGGTGTCTTGAAGAAGAATTGTCATCCATCAAATGGAAGGGCAACCAGTAGGGGTTCTGTTATCCAGCTATATCTCAACCAGCAAATTATGTGTATTACAGCAAATTGTCCAGTAACGCTTTTCTGAGTTACAACTTACCAAAGGCGCTGTGTTCATAGGCGCTAACCGGTAAGAGTAGTATCAAGCTTCCATTCCCTCGGTAACTTAGAAAAATACGCACCACAGGCTAGGCACATGGGAATGACAGCACTGTGCGATGTCATGGCTATTATTGTATGCTGATAAATCTTTCATATGATATTGTCCGTTGCAGTTTTGGGACCAAAAGCAATGCCCTAACCAAATACCAGTTTTCATAGATACCTTTGTTATGATCATTTAGATCAAATGTAGCCCATTGGGATCACAGTTAACAGGTTGGCGAAAGATGCCCTGGAGAAAGTGATAATGTCTCTCAACTTCCAGGTGCAGTATTAGCTAGGAAGCAGTTTGTGAAAACAGCGCTTATTCAAGGATGCAGGATTCACTAACGCAAATTACCAGCAAATCAATGTTACTTACCAGTCCTCATAAGATTTTCTGGATACACTGATGGTGAATGAGGCAACGCAAAAGATGTAAGCCTCAAAAGATTTGCAGACTCGTCCGTCGATTGAACGACTGGAATTATACCTGGAGTTCCGGTAAACAAGCCGTGGGTGTTTGGCAAAACCGCACTTTGGAATACACCAGGTTGCGCTGCAACGTAGTCCCCTTGGGTGGAAATGTCACTGTGGTTTGAACTTGATACTGGGTATGTCCAAATTCCTGGCTGAGGCAATGAATAGCAAGTGCTTGTCATGGGTAGGTGAAGATTTAATTGGTCCAGTGGCTGTTGTAGAACTAGACGCTGATTAAGTACCGGTGCGGAAAGTATGGTGGTCTCCAGGGGGTAATTCATGAAGTTGGGCTGTTGTGGAGGCGCAGACAACCCCAGGCTATCAAGCCTGCCAGGATTATATAACTGACCTAAACCGACAGACCCGGGAATCGATCTCAGTGAAGTACCGCAACTTAATAAGGGGACAGCCGGATTACTTGGTAAAAGGCAAGATGTGGTTTTTAGTGTAGTCTGGCCTCCATATTGGACGAATGACCCACGCAAGTTTTCGACCAGATTCTGCGGGTACTGTAATTGATCCTTGGGATGCCTTGGCGAGCGAGGGATATTGGTACTGGGAAAAACGGAACAAAAATTCATAACAAGGCAGCATTATAACTACTAAGTGGTATGTGACGTATTCACACGTCATGTTGTAGAGGCTTACGATTGCATCCGCGATTTCTCGAAGGAAATCTATTTTGGAGCTATGTTGCCATGTTGATTTATCTACCAAAGGACAAAACTAGAGGATATCTGAATTTTCCTTAGTGAGCAAAAGTAGCCTATATTTTCCTTGTCCATCGTTGCGTACGCAATTACGTGGATCCTGACCCTTCACTTAGGTATGCTAGGAGGGTTCCTTTCTTTGACGCTATCAAAATGCATGTGACGCTGATGTGAGTTCAAGCCAAGCTAACAGGTAAGGACACGTCACTCCAAGTCACATGACCACAAGATGAGATCAGGCGTCTGACTGCAAACACGAATTAGTCCGTGCGAACGTGCCGGTGATGGGAGCCCAAAACCATGGGAATTCGTGTGTGCGTGGTCACCAGAACTCCCTGCGTGTGCTGCTTGCTGAGTCCTTCGCGGATTGCGTCGGTTCGTTTAACCCTTGCAAGGAACAAACTCAAACTTGATTTTATGGAATATAAGAATGAATTAAAATAATATCACTAAGTTATGCTGATGCGGTTAAGCTAATGTACTACCTCAGTACTGACGGATGTTCGCTGGAGGAGGTGACGGAAATGGCAGGATGTACCACGACGATAATGTACTTTCATCACGACCTTGCTATTACACTTTAGGCAGTTGCATTAGTACCCATACTCGTTCCAGTGAGGCATGTTTCTGGGAGTCCATTTAAGGTGCCTCAAGGCAACTGACCCATATAAACCGACGAAATGCTGATACACTCTCAGTGCAAAAATGAAGGGGTTTCTCCAATTCTCCCACTGATGTTCCATTAGTCAAGGGCATAAAAACAACCTGTACTGAGGAAATTTAATAACCAGGAAAACAGCTACAACAAACAGGTGATGCGTATTAAACTTCTTCGGGTACCATGTGGGATGTGAAATCTACTGACTTACCAGATTATTTAATTTTTTCAGCCACTGTATACAGAAACATGTAAGGTAAACTCAAAGGCAAATTACCGTGGTAGCTGCTTACCAGGTTTGGTCGTCCAGCTGCCTTTGTCTGTCTGCAAGCTTCACTTCAAGCGGTCGTTTAGCTCCTTCGATAGTCACTTGAGCATCACGAATGCCTTCAATAGCACGCTGAGCATCTTCTGTTCGCAAGAATCGTACAAATCCAGCCCCTAAATGATGATGGACACTAAGAGGCATCACGCTTTCACTTAGTTCGGTAAAATGTTTCATCAAACCTCGCAATGCATGTGAGCTTCAGAAAAAAGAACAACTTTCATATCCTTCGCTGTACGTGAGTCAGTGAATGGACAGAAGACTTTTCATGAGGGGCACAAGTGAGTATTCGGTTAGAAGGGACCCTAATTTCTTACCGGTACAGAAGTTGCTCGCACGTTTAGTCATTACGATAGCCGTCGAAATTTGACCATATGGTTGAAATATCTTCTTCAGATCTTCCACATTATTCGCTGTCCAGGTCTCAGGAATGTTAGTAATGTAGATATTTTGAGGATCCTTTTCTGACTCCTAGGGATAAATGAAAAAACCACATAGGTAAAATTCCACAAATAGCGGGCGTGCAAATAGATCTCCTTATATACAAGCTAAGGGAAAACGCTTGCAATGTTGTCTACTTTTGCCCGATGCAAGTAAATAACTGCGTAGGTTAAACGAGTCATCTGATAAGACCAGAAATCAAAGGAATGCATTCTCTTCCAACTTATAACTATGAAGTAGCTCCATAACCACGACTAACCTAAAAAAACGATGTGAACAAGCAGTAAATTGTGTTTCCAAATAGAAAGCACAAAATGTCATCAACCACTGTCTATTCTGTTTCGGATTACGGTTAGAAAATCAGCGTAATGACGGTTGTGTTAACAGACTTTTCATTCGTTGTTCAAATCAAGTCAAAATAGGCTTTATGCACTAAATAGTTGCATCAACAGCGTCTACACTATCACAGCGGATACGCTAAATGAATGTGAGCAGTTAAAAATGCATAAACACGGATTGTAGGATTAAATAGTCAAAGGCATTTGAGTGGTATCCAAGCAACCGCATGCGCAAAGTATTTGTGACTTTCATAGGGTCGACAAGAAAGCGTGACCAATTAGGCAAGCTTATGTTATGATAGGAGGCGTTGAGCGTGTGTGAGAGACACCTAAAGTTTGTGAGAGAGCATCATGTAGCGGATGAGAGCTGTCACTTGGGACCTTAGAAGAGAATTTCATGCAAGCGTCAAGAAGCTTACAAGCAATAAAATCAACTATGGGATCTATCGGCAAGCCACCAGACTAGGAAATATATTTTTACTTGATCGCACAACGAAGACATAGTTCTTCTGCAGTGGTCCAGGGAAGATTACTGGTGAACAGTACAACCAGAGGGGTAGTATACATGCCGTTATATATCAAAAAATTAAGCTTCGTGGTAGGGAGAACTTCTTAAGTCGGAAGGCATAAAAAGATAATCTTCTAACCTTGTGAAAGCTCTCCAAAACATGCATGGACCACGAAAAGTTTTGGGAAAAATAGTCACCAAGATATATGACCGTGGATGAAATAGGAATGTTTGGCTCCTCCAAAGTTTACAAAGGACAGACACCTAAAATTATTCGCAATTTAGCAAGACGGAGCAGTGAAAAAGTTACACCAGTACATTTAAAAGCATTAAGGTCAAGGGATATGGTTAAGAAACAACTCACAAGTTCGTCTAAACTACATTGAAGCGTAAACGTCTCCAAGACAATGTCGTCAGCATACTTACTTCCACTGAATGTTTTGGTATGGGGAGACTTGTAACATATAAAGAGAATAAAAGGGGGGAGACCCTCGCGCCCTTCAAAACACCACCGTCAGCGCAGAGTATAGAGGAGTTTTGCCGTTTAACTGGGTAAAGTACATACTATCAGTGAAATAGTCACATAACAAGCTACAAATATCAGGGTGGACTTTGTTCAAATAAAGTAGGTTGAATAGAACTGATCGATCAAGACTCCCAAATGCATCTAAATAGTCAAAAAAAGAAGTGTAGACTTGCAATATTTGTCAAGTGCAGAGGCTATTGAATGCAAAAGTACGAGACCGCATCAAGCGTGGAGTGCCAAGATCTAAACGCGAACTGGAAAACATCATCAGCTAGAGTGGCTGTGGAAATCCGTTTAACTAGTGGCTTTTCGAGGACTTTCAAGGGCACGGTAGTACAAGCAATAGGTCGATCCCCGTGAAACTCCTTTTTAGGAAGTGGCGTTATTCTGGCTGACCTCCAGATATCGGGGATGGTACCGGTGGTGAGACACTCGTTAAAAATAACAGTCAAGCGTAATGTAAGGGATTCGGCGCCTTGCTTCAAAACCACCGGTAATAAGCCATCAGGGCCACTAGCTTTATTTGAATTTAACTTCTTGAGGTCTCTTTTGACGTCAGCTTGATTGAATAAGGGGGCTATGTATGAGCTAGTGAAGGAAGGTAATGGAAAAGCGCTCGACGGAGAGGAATTAAATGCAGAACTGAGTTTGTCAACAGTCAGCACCTCCGGTGGTACTTATACCACAGCTTTGATTCAACAACCTCAAGAGATCCCGGTAGTTACGGTTTCCTAGTATCGTTTCAGTGTATAAACAGTTTAGTCCTGCTATTTCAGCCGTACTTGCTAAAGTCAGGCTTTTAACTCGGGTGGTTATTTTAAATTTGTTAGCACGTTCTTTTCTTCTTCGAAGTTGTTTCAGCAGAGATGAAGAAAAGCTTTCAGCTATCTCTATCTATATATCTATCTATCTATCTGTCTATCTATCTCTATCGTCTCGGTAGAGCAGTGTGGGCGGAAGGAGTAGTTTACGTAACTCGTGAAATGATTGCTTTGAACCGACAGATCTTCCTCTGTAAAAACTGAAAAATGGGTTTATGAAAGCATTTCCTGAAGTCGTGCGATATTTTTCACCGAGCAATTACATCTTCGGATAGTCCTGAATTGTCGTTTCTTCAATGTGGCGTAGTTAGTTGTACTGTAGACGGTAGGGTCAATCTTTATGATACACTGGTCCGAGTTGCTTAGTGGCGTATACATTTGAATGGAAAACAAACGAATTTGGTTTGTGTAAGCAACATCAAGCTGTGCGACTTGACTGATCGGACAAATTACTAAATTTTCCAAATCAATTAATTTGAAGAACGTATCATCTTTATCAATGTCACCTGCGACAATGCAGACAGAACTTTTAGTTTCAAATGCAATACCAAAGAAAATTGCTCACCTAAAAGCTTTATTTCGGATGATTATGTATTAGGGGTAATGTAAAAGTTTTCCATAACAACGGATTGTAAGCCCTCTGAGGAATTTAGGCCAGCATTCGAGTAAATGACAGCTAATAGAAGTTGTAGCGTGAGAGAGTGGTTGATTGACTGAGTCGCACCAGAGCAGCTTAACGTACGTAACGATGCCACCACTATGATTCCTTGGCTTATCTGGGCGATTGGACCTTATCGCAAGCTATCCAATGTTGTTAATGAATCCATCTTCAATATCAGGGTAAAATTAACTATCTTTCAACGTAATAATAGCTGTGTTTATATATTCCTTTTGCTGTATAAGTGCTGTGACGTCAGTGCTTTTCCCGAGAAATGAACGCACATTGCTGGAGTGGATGAGTGGTAATTGCAGCTTCAGCACAGGACATCGTCAGAGACCAACTTTCCAACCAACGCGATGTTTCTTCATGTTGCCATTAGGTTTTCTTACAATCCGTCTAAAAGTTTTTTTGGCTTTATGCCCGTTGTAGAAAAAAGCTGATTTAAAAATCGGCGGAGTACGATGAGATTGGGAACTAGGATATGGTTCTGTTAAACCAAATTAATAAAGTAAAACAACAAAACTTATAAATCCGCAGCAGATGTTCCAAGCGATAACACCAACGGCCAATTTGAACGCCCCGCAGTTAGCAGCTGGTGTGGCCTGCTTACTTGCTGTTATCTCCTACTGACTCTCAGATGTAGCATGGGCTCCGAAATTGTTCTTGATTCTATTAAGTTCCATGCTTATGCGGATGAACCAGCGGTCATTTGGAATGCAATCGTAAGTTGCATACTACACAAATTATAAACATCAGCATAAATCTCTTTACGCACTGTAGTCAAACGACCTCAACACTGCCCTGTAACACATTACCATCAAATCCACGTGCACCTGGTAAGGCATTTGTGGGATAAACCATGTCGTAGATTAACTTCTGCCTTTTTGTTTATCTTTTACGTACATATGTCCATTTCAAACACCTAAGGCAATAAAACTCAAGTCGTTTACCTAACAATTTTCTAATCATTATGATCTGGTAGGCAGCCACTTTGGAATGTACTTTCACTCGCCTCCAAAGTTTGCCGCAACCAGTCATACGCACTTCAGAAAATGTTCCCCAAGTGTAAGTAATGGACTCTAGAACGGAATACCCATAAAAGCACCCTTCACGTTCACCGGTGCGTCCCCACTTGTCATCTCCGGAGGCAATAGAGGTTTGGGCGTGAGAAGCGAAAGGTATGTGTTGCAGTTTGGTATCTAATTCACACACAAATCTTTTACAAAATGAATTCTAGTATGCACGTACGTGAATCTGTGGAACACGAAAGTAGATAATGTGTGTATTTTATTATTGTTGGCTCCAAACTCCAAAGGTAAATACGAGAACTATGTGCAATTCGTCATTGGGTAAAGTCACATTTGCATAATGAAATACAATTTTGACATTGAAGCTAGGCTTGATGTTTGAGGCTAAACTTTCTACTCCTCCTTGAGTGCAAGAACTGCGGTAATTTTGCCAAGAGTATGCTCGTCGAGAATGAAATTTCGGTTGGTCGGCTGTCTGTGTATTGGATGATGCAATGTTCGCTTTATTTTCAAACCGTGAGTCAATGTTATCCTCAAAAGAAATACGAAATCCGATAGCTATCCTGTTCCCGAAATCGTGCAGCATAAAAGCGACATTTTATTAGAGATTTAGTATGTACACCTCCTCAGCATCTTTAAACATTTGGACTAACTTTGGATTTGAATAGGTACAAATTCTAGTTACACCATTGTGAACCGTAATAGCCATAATTACGTACTAGGCTACGTACTAGTTGACATCTGGGCTTTAGAAAGAGTGCTTCAAGCGATAGGTTGCAAGCAATTAGTGATGTGCTCCCTTAAGACATTCCCAATGCTCTAATGCTTTCCAAATTCAGCGATGCTTACTGCGCAGTGTAATAACATAACTGTCCGAACGGTGTGAAGTATTTTAGGCATTGTGTGGCAGACTAAGCTACTTGATGGGAAACTAAGCGATACTGTCAGTTAACTCCAGTGACAGCATGCTCAGGTGACTTATTCATGGGAGCCTATGCTACCTCGAAGCTCTTCATAGATAAATTTAATATGGAATAGTGTGCTTTCCGATAAAACAATTCCTTTGGCTGAACAAGAACCAGGATCTGAACTAAGTCAAAGAGAGAACAATTAACTAACTAGAGGGCCCATCAGACTATCAGGGAAAG